CCTCTTCTAACTGGTTTGGTAGATTTGACGAACCGGTTCTACTGAATAGATGCGAACTGGTAGGAATCCACCTCTGGGCAAGAGTTAGAATGCAGTTTTGCAGGCTGACAGATTTGATCCTGACTGACTCAAGGTTGACTCTGCCTTCCATCCTTCCAAGTTTGGTAAAATTAGGACTCACATTGTTGGGGGAAATATGCTGACGTTGTAAATTGCTCAGAGTGTTGTAAGGCACTATGGAGTGGTATATAACTTGTGCCATTGTTATTGCTATCATGCCTGGCTGAAAAAGAGTTATATGGATTACACCTACTTTATAAAGTTGCTATTCTATATTTAAAAATCTTCTTTTTAAACGCATTTTGTTAGGGAAATAACAAACACCTCAGTTGTAGAAAGACCTGTGTGCCTTCTAGAACCTGAGAATATTTTCCTGTCAAATCTCACTTGCAGTGGATTTAATTTCAATCTGTTAATCCTTATCCATCTGATTATAGTTTCCAAGTACTGACTGAGAATAGACACATCAGCCGAGTGTTTGATAAATATAGAAATGAGTATTGTCAGACGCTTCAGGACACTTAACTCCTAACTACCTTTGTGGGTAACTAACATACTTCAAGAAGTAACCAAAATCTTGCAATGGGAAAATGGCTTTACAGTACTCATTGCATGGATTTGCTGGGATCAGAAAACCAAGCTGCCAAATCCTGACTCATGTTAAATTGGAATGGTCCCAATATTGGATCCTGTGGAAATTTACACATACAAGGTGTCAAGGCAGCACCCTGATTAACCATTTCTTGGATCTGACTGGAACAAGAGGACAGAAATTACAAAATAACCAAATATGGCAATCCTCTGTGCTGCAGTTATAAATTAAATTATAAATTGAGGTGCAATTTGGAGATTGCAAGAAATGGATATGCTAAATAGGATGTATTCTAGTCTCTTCAATGCAAATTCAACATAAGATCCTCGAGTGATTACCTCTGCTTCAATTCTTACCTTCCACTTCTAATATCTGAAAGGTTTGTAAAACAAGAAAACTTCTCTCAGTTGTACTGCCATGCTATGCGTTGACATGATTGAACTTTTGATCTATGCCTCAAATAGATGCTTCATGAACCTGTGTGTGTGTGTGAGTATATATGTATATATGTACATATTTTTGTCTATTTAAGGGCTTTAGGAATTTCAATAACAGACTATACTTTTGAAGATTGCCAGCTGGCTTTGGCCGAAGGACAGCTCCAACTCCCATCAAATACCTGTCTCTTAGAATTTGCAAAACTTGTAAGAAATCTTGGGTAAGTAAATTATCAATACATAATAATATACTTTTATATATATGTTTTTAACATTATATATATTTTTAACATTGATAATATGTTTTTAGCAAATAAAAAAAGCTTTGTAACTGTTTAGAACTGCGTGACAAACTGATTATAAAATGCATGTCACTGCTTTTCTGAGTTCTTCAGGTAGCTTTTGGTTCAGAAATGAAAGAACAGCCTTATTTTCTTCATGCTTTTAGATGCAAAGAAAAAAGTGATTTAAAGTGTGATTTTGGGGGAAAAAGTGGCAGATCTAGTATATCTTTACAGAGATTTCATATGGCTGTATAGCTATACATCACTTACTATAAACATAAGAATTTGTGTTGAGAAAAATGTTTTCTCTGCTAAAAGTAATGTATTTTACATTTACAAAGTGAGAGTTCTGTTGAAATACTCTATTTGGGGGGGGGGGGTATAGCCAAAGACTTTATTCCGATACAATTCAGGATACAGAATTTGTAAAACACATCTGTTTGAGAACAAAAATATGTAGGGGCATATTAAAAAGAATGTACAGCCTTGATCTGGTGTTTTGTAAAACAGAACATAAATTGCTCAGTTGAAAATAAATTTTAACTGAAATCAAGTTTTTTTTTCTAACAGGTTTCAATTAAAACTAAATTTTCAATTTTTATGGGTTTTGGGGCTAATATAAGAAATAGAGAGGACTTCTCTCTCTTTCCCCCCCCTTTAAATGATTATTGTCCAAAGGTAATACTTTGTTTTCCCCTACCATTTTAAGGTTAAAGCCAGAAAAACTTGAAAAAGAACTTGATGCATACTCAGAAAGAGCTAGGAAACTGAAAAACAAAAAAGTCACTCTCAAGGAATTTGCAGAGTATTTGAAAATCCAAGTTTCAGATATGTTAGAAAATATGTTTGCACTTTTTGAAGAGGTAAGAATTCATTATCACCAGAAATATAACATGAAAGTTATTGTACAGTAGAAAATGTTACTGCGGGTAAAATCCACTTGTGTCCATGTGACAAGATTGAAGTCTCTTCTTCCCCTTCTCCCGATCTGTATATGATTTAATGAGTGATAATGAATGTATAGATAGCAAAAGCACTTAGACTTATATACCACTTCACAGTGCTTTTACAGCCCCCTCTAAGCGGTTTACAGAGTCAGCATGTTGCCCCCAACAATCTGAGTCCTCATTTTACCCAACTCAGAACGACAGAAGGTTAAGTCAACCTTGAGCCGGGTGAGATTCAATCTGCCAAATTGCAGGCAGCCGGCAGTCTGCAGAAGTAGCCTGCAGTACTGCACTCTAACCACTGCGTTAGATGGTTCTTGACTTATGACCACCATGGCGCCTAGGATTCTGATCATGAGCTGTTGGATATGTAAGTCAAAGGACAGCATGATTGGTCTAGATTTTACAACCAATTTTTATTAGTGGTTTGTAAAGCAAAATATCAAGGTTGTTAAGTGAACGGTCATTAAGTGAATCCAACATACACAAGGGCATTTTTTGCCGTTTTCTGCTGGAAAACAGCAAAATCATTGCAAATCACTGCAGCCAGTAATATAACCAAACGCCCGAAATATGATTGTGTAAACATGGGGAGGTGCAGCAATTATAAGTTTGAGGATGAGCGGTAAGGTAGCCCTTTTAAAAGTCCAGTGTAACTTCAAACAGTTTTTAAGTAATTAG